TGATGACATGAAATCCAAAATTTCGTTTCTTATATATATAAGATATCCCTCTAGTGGCACAAGCACAACGGTGATTATTTTCAAATTTATCTATATAATAAAATATAACATAAAAAATGACTTTTATTTTTCGTAGTTCAGATAATTTTAATTTTATTTTAAAGTTAATTCGACGATTAATATTAACTTCTCAAATTTAGTAGGGAAATAGGCCCCTTGAAAGTGTGTTTGAGGTGACTTTTCAAAAGTACTTCTAAGATTTATAAAAAAAAGAAGGTAATATTTAGAACAACTTATTTTAATTACTTTCAATTAAGTTAAAAGTAGTTTTACTACATAAATAAGTAAAAGTAAAAAATAATAATAATAACTTCTACTTATTTAAAATCACTTCTTTACAAAACACTTTACCACAACCACAATCACCGTTGCCCCACCATCACCGCCACTCCACCACCACCACCACCACTGCCCCACCATCATCACCGCCACAACCATTATTGCCACCCCACGACCACCGCCACAGCCCCATCACCACCATTATCACAACCACAACCTCCACCACCACCACCACCACCATCGTCGTCAGCCATCACCGATTACTACTATCACCACCACCACCACCACCACTGTCGTCAGCACTAAATATTGGACTCTACCAAGAAATTACTACTTAATTCGACCTTGGACTCTATCAAGAGTCTAAGGTCAAACCACACGGAGATGAGAATTTTAAATTGAAAAATAGTAAATAAAAGAAAATATGTTGTGTGTTTGAGAGAGATTGATTTGGTAGTTGAATCTTAAAACAAATAAACTAAAATAACTTTGAGAAAATGATTTAGGAAAAAAACTAAGGCATTAGATACTTGTTCAATAACAATTGGGTAGTAATTTAATCCTATTTTTCAATCTCAATTGAAAAACAACTAGGGAGTGAACCCAATTGGAAGATTAACAATGATTAATGAGAAAATTCCCTAAAATATAATCAATAAGCTAATCTAGATGAATTCAAACATCCAATTGTTAATTACAAGCATTTAACATGCCCAGAGCCAATGATAAATCAAACAATTGAATAATCAAACATCTCGATTCATATAAATCAACAAATCAACTAATTAGATTAATTCATTAACAATCTAACCCAAGCATGTACATCTAGCTATTCTACTCATAAGGAACCTCAAAAATTTTCATCACATTTAGCATAGTAATTCAAGAGATTATATAAAAATAAAGTTTTGCTAAATAAGATTAATTGAACAATTAAGGAAAAACATCAATTGAAGCTCAAATGATTAATTATATACCCAAATGGACATTGGAATTTCTCATAGCCTTAGTGAAAAAGTATAGCCAACCATTAATTGGGGTTAAAACAAAATTAAATTAATATTAATGAAGAAATCAAAAAAAAAAAAGGCTTCCAAGTTTGGAACACTCTCCATAGGAAGAAGAAACCCTCTGGAGGACTATCCAGCGATTTCGGATTGCTATGGTCATGTCTAGACAGAAATTCCACACCAATCGATCCACTGCAACCCTTTTTTTCTTAGAAAAAAAAAAAACAAACTTATTTATTTTGTTGAGATAAAAGGCAAGGGAGAAGAAAAAAAAAAAAGGTGGGTATTAAGGACGGGACCGTAAAACCATACCATCAACACGATAGCTAGAACATGTGTAGCCATCAATGAATTGAAGGTAGGTATTTCACATTTAATATGGTCAGCATTTCTCGCTTGTCTCACATTTCTACCAACGAGATTCCTTCATTTTCTCTGCATTGTAAAACGTATCTCTCTGCAAAAACTGGCTAACTGAAATATCAGTACGTACCGCCAAATATCATAAATATCTCCTGAATTATAGTCTTTATTTTAAATTATTCTCTGATTTTTTTAATTATTCTTATTTATTGCTTAAACTATATAATTTATTTCATTTTAATTGACTTATTCTGTTAAGATATAAAGATACATTTTCAAATAAGACAAATTAACGGTTAATTTCATTGGAGTTAATCTTATTTAACAGTTAGCCTTAACAAAATTTGTCTCAATTATCAATTAATTTTTACAAAAAAAGGTCGATTGAAATAAAAAATTACATAGTTCAAAGGAAAAATTATGATAATTAAAAATTTAAGGGATAATTTAAAACAAAGATCATAGTTCATGGGGTGTTTATGAAATTTAGCCTTGAACATATTAAAATAGGGTACTTAATAGTTAATAGAGCACTACGACATGTGGATATTGGTTTCACCGATAAATATATGGTACTCAAAAACAAAATTGGCGTCGTGTGATATTCTAATTTTCAAAAATTATAAAATTACCTACAAAAGTTCTAAATTTTTTTGTTATAAAAACAATCATAAAAATTAAAGGTATAGTACCAAAACTTTTTTTTTTTCGGTAGTGTAGTTTTCTCCTTGGTTTCACTATTGATTTCAATGTGGCAAATCAAAATACAAATGTATATGGTTCATCTTTATTCCATAAAAAGACAATTCAAAACACGTGAGATGTCTGTCATTGTGGGATTTTGAGAAAGTTAGAAATATACAATTTTACTTTCACTTTCAAATGGATAATTTTCGTAATTCAAACTAGAAATTTGAAAATTGTACTAGGGAAGCATATCATTGCCCCAAAACCACCCTGATCCATCCTGATCAATAATGCATGTAAACAATGCTTGTTAAACCCCCTTTCCTTGATGAGTTACATGTCTATGCAGAAAATTCTCCACCTAGGACTGTGATTTGGCCACATTTTGGCCTGTTATAAATCTAAATGTGGCAAATTGAAGAAAATTTTAATTTACATCCTTAAAGATCAATTATTTTAAATTACACCCTCAATAAATTAATTAGTAATAATGTCACCCCGACCATAACGTCCATTGCGATTTTCGTCAAATTGATAGCCACGTGAGCTACATGTGATGACTTTTGTTGATTATGACAAACTTCCCCTTTGACGTGTATCTCACGTGCCTTATAATCTGACGAAAATCACAATAAATGTTAAAATAATTTATCTTTAAACATACAATTAAAAATTTTATAATCTTTTGATGTGCAAACTGCCATTTGCCCACCTAAATGGCTAAATGAGATGTGAACCCCAATATTAATACTGCACATCACTAAAAAGAGGGTTCTCAATTTCTTTTGTTCAACCTTTTTTTTTTTGGCGTTTAGTTCTTTTATTCAACCTTAGTATTAAAATTTCTTTGTTTTGATAAAACTAACAAAAGTATTGAAAAGGTTAAATGTAGTAGTCAATGCCCCTATCCCAAAAGTTGAGTATTGAAATGGTCAAATGTTGTAGTCAATGCCCCTGTCCCAAAACGTTGAAATTTTTTCCACCTAAATCTTCCACCAAGTCCTTCATTATATTCCTTTTATTAATTTTTTTATTTGTTTGGTAACAAGACCACCATGTCAAATCAAATTAGATGTTCTTGTTCTTTGTAATTTGGGATTTTAATGTTATATTGGTGGAATTTCAAATTTTGGTTTGATTGTAATTCTCATCCCAACCTCTCATGATAGAGCTAGGTCTCGACACTTAATACTTCGTCAAATTTGAGTCATATAAGGGATTTTATAGTCTTAGTTTACGAGTGATTGTGTGCATCTTAAGTTTATGTAGCAGTTACAAGTACAAATTTAAATGATTGTATGTATCTCATATATAGTTATATATGCAAAAAACACAAGTTTAAAGAATATGTGGTTTATATTTTTTTATTTTTTGGGTCATAATAAAGTCATTCCATTGAAGAAGATAGAGGACGGTTATCCAATGTCATTACCAAGGACTTGATGAAGTCCATGCATAACAACATTATGCAGTTAGACTTTGTTACTAAAACATAATATTTCGATTTTATACCTCTTTTTTTTACCCAATTATAAATTGATGCATATAAAAAATTTTATTGTGTTCAATATCAAGGGGTACAAATAACTGTACTAATTATATACTATCTGGACTCGTAAATGCTTAGATGTACAAATCAAAAGTAGTTATCCGTTGTTGGCTTTCAATTGCTCAGATGGGTATAGGTAGAAAAAAGAATGCAACAAATTGATGGCACATCATCAGTCAAACTCTATGTCCATACATTGATGAAGGCATTCAATAAAGCTGTACACCACCAGTCAGTGAATGAATGCATAATTTGCCCCCATTGTCCTATCTAAATATGGTGGTTTATAAACCATGGCCCAGGACTAGATTAGTCAAATGTGTAAAGCTAATAAGAACAAGATATCAGGAATACAAGGGGATTTAAAATTGATTTGTTTCTTCTCCATAACCACTCTCCTCCTTTTGTCTCAATTTCACAAGAACAAAACAAAAAGCAAAATAAACAAACACTTTTAAAGTATATATACACATAATTACTCATTTGCTCAAACCATATGTTGCGGAATCAATTTCGAAAACCAACCTCTAAAAGTTTTGCTCCAATTTGGTAAAGTTTTTCTCCAATATACACATCATATGTGTAAGTAGACAAACTAAAACCATATCACGGGGTGAAATCATGATGGGAAAAAGAATGGGACAACCATGAAAGAAGGGTACCTGTTCTTCTGTCCCCTGTGATTGTGACATATTGATATGCATCAACATTTCAAAGAAACCCTCTCCTCCTTCTCATTCACTGTCTTTAGACTGCACAACCAACTCCCTTAGATTTCTCCCAATAATTCCTCATCTCCGGCTTGCTTTTAATTTGTTTGATAAAAGGCAACAAGATGCATTATACTCTCGCCACACTAAGATAGATCTTGAGAGGACTAGATATATGTAATTTACTTTTACTTCGCATGTGGAGAAACTATTTTCATAATATCAACAAATTTACTCTATCACAACACTAAATATTGGATCATACTCTCATCTAACTTGAAATCTAACAGATCATAGATCAGAATCATTTCATATAGCCAACACGAGAAAACAAGTGCATAATCATTTCTTGTTCTTCTTGTCTTTGCCTCCATTGCCAAAGAAAGAACCCAACCCAAAAAGATTAGCAGTACCCTTTGAAATGTAAGGAGGTGGAACATTAAGCACTGGGCTAATCCTAACACCATGACCATATGACCCTCCATAATTCTTGTTCAATGGAGGCTTCTGTGACAACGGATAAGTGTAGAAACTCGGCGAAGACGCTGAAGAAACTGCCATTGATCCCTTTCCATGTTTATTTGAATTCTGCTTCTGACTATCCTTCAAAGTCTGCTTTGAACTCGGTACTGAACCAGTTGAGTTGCTTCGTGACAGAAGAGGTAATGACCAAAACGAGCCCTTCTTGTAGCTATTATCACCATGAACACTACTACTTCGCTTGATTCGCCAAAAGGGTCTTGATTGATGCTTCTGGTCAGAGTCAAATATGATCTCTTTCGAGCTTTTTGGCTTTGAATTTTCATTTGTAGGAGGGACAGGAAGAGGTGGAAGAGAAGAAAGAGGCTGAGGTTTAGAGAGATAAATGGGTTTTGAAGTGATAAACTTTTCCTCTAGTTGAAGAGGGAGAATTAGGCCGTCTGAGAAAAGTTCATCTGCTGCAGAAATTTCTCTCTCAATGTTGTTGCTGACGCAGAAATCGAACTCAGAAGAATCTGAGTCCAACAGGGAGGAGTCTGAGCGAGATGGGTGGTAGTTTTCGATGGATTTGGAGTCCGAATGGAGGAGATCATGGGAAAATGAGATTCGAGGACTGGTGCCTATGTTCGAGCACTCTGAGCACATGTCAATAGCCATATGTTTTCAAATTTTGAGAGAGAATTTTTGGGAGAGAACACAATGAAGAAAGAGAAAAAAGATGGTTTTTGTAGTTTGAAAGAGAGGGTAAGATTCAAAAGTGACGGGCAAATACTGGCATTAAAGGAGGACAAGATGGTTTGGTGAAGTCAAGAAAGAAAGCTAAAAAGAGATGGTCCAGTTTTGTGGGGGGGGGGGTGAAGTGGAATAAAAGCTAAGATTTGAAGATGTCAGGGATTACAGAGAATTTGAAGATCATCAAAAAGGTGTGTTCCCAGAATATTATGTGAAAGTATAGTCGAAGTTTTAGAGAGAGGGAAAGTTGATGAGACACTAAATCAAGGGAATCAAAGGATAAGGGAAGATAAAGTGAGGCAGGGGGAAGGGAAGGGTGATAAATAAGGTGCAAAATCTTCATCAGACTTACCTCTCTACAAGGGCAAGAGAAAAAATAAAATCTATTGTAATGTTTGAAAAAAAGAATAAAAATAATTTGAGATATAATATGAGAAATACGATAATTCAGAGGGGTAAAGTGAAAGCAAGACACAGATGAGAGAATCAAAGAGATATACTTTATAGAGCTGAGCATGCTTTCTTGTATAATAATAAGAGAGTGTGGTTAACCTTTTATTTGTATTATTGACTTTTTGGTATCTTGCTATCTCAACTGCCCACTGAATATCTCTATTTTCATTTGAACTTGTCTAAAGTGATAAAGATGGCTAAATTAATTTGGCAACCTCCATTGTTTGTCAACTTTACTCGGTCAATCCTAATTTTGAAGCTTGTAAAGCAAACAAGCTTGTGACAGCTTCAATTTGACAAGGTAAATTCAGTGAAACGACCCACCAAACTTGCTAGAAAATTTACACACCAAGCCACGTCGAGTTATTAATTAGCTCTGATACCAAATTTAATTAGCAAGTTTCGTGCTAAAAAAGGCAAGCAACATTTAAGTTTCTCGTTTCTATTTATGAAACTTGAATCTTCCCAAATATAACTGTGATTTGGGACTGAACACACGCTAAAGCAATCGTGCAACTAATTCGAAAGGCTAAAAGAAAAAAATTGAGGCTAGTGGCCATTGCATCACCACCAAAGAACCTAGATCCCTTGAATTTGCTCCCTTTTATTGTGGGACCAGTTATAAGTTAGCAATATAGAAGAGCGAAACCATAAGCATAATCCTAATAATACGATCAAACAGGCTTTAACTTGACAGTAATATTGTTTTACAGTAATATTAACGTTACGAATGGACAACATTATTTGAAACTAGATAATTCAGCTCGATTTGCTTTTGCCAATAATATAAAAACAAAATTTTCTAATAGGATGATCAAATTTTTTAAGTAGTATCAATTAAGACATATTATGGGTAATATATATATATATATATATATAATAAAGTAATTTACAATTCAAATATCAAAAAATAAACAAAAATAACTTTTACTATTTGCGATTGTGATTGAGATCGCTTTAAATTTTTCTTTAAAATTAATTTAACGGGTAATATTAACACTCTAAATTTAATAGGAAAAGTAGGACCCTAAGGGTGTGTTTGCGGTGATTTTCTAAAAGTATTTTTAAAAATTATTTTTCATAAATACTTTAAAAAAAAAATAGTGTTTGAAGCCGTCCCCACCACTATCTCTACAACCACCGCCACCACAACCACTGCTACCACCGCCGTCGCCACCCCCATCGCCATCATCGTCGTCACCGCCACTACCACAACCACCATCGCCAGCGTCACCACCACCATCACCATCACCATTGTTGCTGCCGCCACCACCATCACTCCCACCACCACCATCGCCTCCACCACTGCCACCGTCACTGTTGTCATCGCCATAACCACCACCACTCTCGCCGCCGCCCTTGCCGCCACCATGGTCATTGCCACTCATCACAACCATCACCGTCTCCTACCACCACTTCTCACCCCACTACAAATCGATGCTTAAATTTCTTTATCTTTTTTCTATATTTGTGAATACAAATATGTTTATTGTTTATCATTTTTTGTTACACTATGCTTTCAGGCATAAGCAATAACTAGTCTATATAATAAAGTATCTTACAATTTAAATTTCAAAAGATATACAAAATAATTTTTGCTATTCGCGGTGGAGATCGTTTTAAATTTTACTTTAAAGTTAATCTAACGACTAATATTAACACCCTAAATTTAATAGAAAAAATAGGCCATAAGAGTATGTTTAGAGTGACTTTTTAAAATTTATTCTATAAATTATTTCTCATAAATATTTTTTTTTAAATAATGTTTGAAACCACTACACTACTACCCCTACCCCCACCACTACTTCTACTCCTACCACCACCACCATCGCCACCGCCACCATCACCACCACCACCGTCGCCGCTACTACTACCATCATTGTCGCCACAATTACCACCATTGTCGTCGCCACCACCACCACCATCGCTGTCGCCGCCGCCCTCGCCACCACCATGGCCGCCGCCCCTACAACCATCGCCACTGCCGCCACCGCCACCTTCATCACCATCGCCGTTACCACCGCTACCACGGTCATTGTTACCCACCACAACCATCACCACTGCCGCCCACCACCTCTCCCCCTCCACTACAAACTGATGCTTAAATTGTTTTATCTGATGCTTAAATTTCTTTATCTCTTCTATATATATGTGATTTGATTTTAGATATGAATACAAATATGTTTATTGTTTACCATTTTTTATTATTCTGTGCTTTCAGGCACAGACAATAAATAGTATATATATAAAGTAAAATACAATAATACACTTCAAAGTTCAAAAGATAAATAAAATGACTTTTATTTTTTGCGGTTGAGATCTTTTTAAATTTTACTCTAAAATTAATCTGACGGGTAATATTAACATTTCAAATTTAATAAGGAAAATAGACATCTAATAGTGTATTTGAAGTTATTTTTTAAAAATACTTCTAGAACATATAACTTCTTATGAATACTTAAAAAAAAAATAGTATTTGGAATCGTTCTACCACTACTGCCACCCCACCACCACCGCCTTTGTCGCCACCTTACCACCACTGTCGTTGTCGCTATTGTCGCCATCCCACCCCACCCCCACCACCACCCTCCCTACCGCTGCCCAACACCATTGTCACCCATCACAGGTTGCTATTACTGTTGTCTACCGTCACCACCCACCATAATTTTCATCTCATTCTTATATTTATTACAATTATCATCGTCGCCTACTGTTAACACCCACCACTACCATTGTTGCTCACCACCACCCATCGCCGTCCACTATCACAACCCACCATCATCTATCATTGTCCACAATCAAAGCCAGTCAATATCACTCACCCCTATCAAACTTACCACCAATCGTTATCGCCCACCACTTTCACCCACCTTCACCACACTAACTATCACCACCACCGCTATTTACCACAACCCATCACATTATCGTTTAGAAGCACCTGTCGTCGCCCACCACCACCATCATCACTGCCTATCACCGTCATCGCCCCACCACCACCACTATCAACCACCATCACTATCGCCCACAACCACCATTGTCATCACCCATGACTGTTATTACCACTATCGTCACCAAAAATCCACCATCAGCATCACCATTGTCACCCATGACTGTCATCATCACCACGGTCATTGTCACCTATCATAACCATCACTGTTTTCCACCACCACCACTTACACTGTTCACCCCCCACTACAACGGCTGTTTAAATTTTTTTCTTTGCTCTATGTTTATAATTTGATTTTGGGTGTGAATATAAATATATTTATTGTTGACCATCTTTTTTATTATTCTGTGCCTTCAGGCACATGCAATAATTAGTAAAAAAAAAAAAGTACAATACAATTCAAATCTCAAAAAATAAATAAAATGACTTTTCCTATTTGTGGTTAAGATCGTTTTATATTTTACTTTAAAGTTAATCTAACGGCTAATATTAACACTCTAAATTTAATAAAAAAAGTAGACCTCAAAAGGTGTGTTTGGAGTGATTTTTTAAAAATACTTCTAAAAATTATATCTCATAAGTACTTTAAAAAAAAAGTAGTGTTTTCAACTGCCCTACCACTATCTTTACCACCATCCCACCGCTCCACCACCATCACCACTACCGCTCCACTGCCACTGCCACCACCACCGCCACCGCCATCGCCACCAGAGCCCCACCGTCGCCACAATCACTATCGCCATCGTACCATATCCACCACCCTACTACCATCACCATCATTGCTGCCACCACTTTACCACCACCATCACCATTTCTATTGCCCCACCACCACTATAACCACTACCACCATCACCCCACCATCATTGCTACCACTATCATCACCGTCTCACCACCACCACTATTTTCACTGCCCCACCACCACCATCCCTAATCATCACCGCTGTTGCACCTTACCACCACTGCTACTGTCCCACCATCACCTCTATCACCTCCACCGCCCCACCACCACTCCCATGGCCATCACAACTACATCACCATCGCCAACCCACCATCACCATTACCCTCACCCCACCCTCACTGGCCCACCGCCACCACTACCATCATTGCCACCTACCACCGATTGCTACCATCGTCGTTCATGGTCTCCACCCACCACCATCGTCATCTTATTTTTATATTTATTACTATTACCACCATCATTTCACTATCATCGTTGTCTACTGTCAGCACCCACCATCACCCATCGTCGTCGACCATCGCCACCAACCACTGTCACCTACCCCACCACACCTTCCACCACCAAGCACCACCACCCTGTCATAGCCCACCACTGCAGCCACCTACTGTCACCTACTCCCACCACACTTACCATTGCCACCATTCATCACACTGTCGCCTAGAAACACCCATCATCGCCCACCACCACTATCATTACCGCTTACCACCATTGTCAACTACCATCACCATCGTCCACCACCACCGTTGTTACCCACGGTTGCCACTACTATCATCATCACTCAAAATC